AATACAGTAGAGCGTCGATTTTCCGAAAGTCAATCATCCGAAAGAATTCCAGTCGGCAAATTTAAATTTTCGCCAGTGCTGTGGCGCTTCAATCTTTGACTATATCTTGGGCTACTCAAATATTTCCGTTTTTGATACTAAATTAACATCTGAAGTATATTTTTTATTGTTTTTATATTTTTCAATATATTTATTTTGTTTGCACAAAATAAAAAAATAATTTTTAACGATACAATAGTCTTTGTTAGTCTTAACATCGACGAAAATTCAACGCGAAGCGACACGCAACGGAGAAAAATTTCAACATCGGATACGTTAAACTATTTTTTCGAACATAAATCGGTTATCCGATATATCATTTATACGAACAACCCCAGTCCCCAATTGATTCGGAAAATCGACGCTCTACTGTATATCTATCGACTCTGGTCCGAATCTGATGAGTGGATCAGGACCAATCAGAAGAACACATTCGCATCTTACTCTCACACCATCTGTTGAAGCTTTTAGTCAATAGAGAGGTTACGGCGTAAGTTCAAACGTTACTTGTACACAAGTAACGTTTGAATTTGCGCGAAGTACACGGTTTACGTTTTAACTACACCAAAAAGTCGTTGCGGCGCGCGTTCACAACATCACATGACTCAGTGAACGTCGCGCATTGACTCACGGGAAATTTGTTCAATTTGTTCTGGTAACCCTCATTTAACATCGAGGGTTACCAGCGAAGGTAAGTAAACAAATTAAACTATTTTAAGTATTTATAGGGTGTTTAATAACACTAAATAATTATTTTTAATTAGCGTGGTGTCTCCTACCGTACAATCGGACTACCTGATACTTTTGTCGAGGGAAGTAGTGGCTTATGTAAATTCGAAAGCAGCTCGAAAAATTAGAGAAGTTGAGGCGCAAGTTCAAAAGTTAAACGAGTACGGCAAGCAGAAGTACACGTTTCAAGTCCAAGTAAAAATAGTTGAGGCATCCGTTCATAACATCACGTGACTCAGTGGACGCCGCGTATTGACTCACGGGAAATAAGTTGAAAAAAATGGCGGAAACATTTTGCACGGAGGATTACCAGGGAAGGTAAATAAACAAAATTAAACTGTTTGAAAGTATTTATATGATGTTTAATAACACGGTTAAATTTACCCTAGGTAGCCAAGATGGCCGCGCTTCCTGTAGCCTCGGATAAGGTCGCTAGGCACAGTCGGCGCTTTTTAGATGCATTTGCAACAGATTAATTATGCAAATTATTATCGGACGGCAACGTGCGCGTTTGCGGGCGAGTTCGAAGTGACGAGAGAGAGAGATATTTAGGAATTCGAAAAAAGACGAGGTTTGTGCGATTAATTGATTTTTTTAAGATTTCTAATAATGGAAAATTTAGAAATTAATAATAATAGCGAAGAAGGATTTCGGTCGAAGTGCACGAGTGGGCAGTTTTACCAACTTTTGGAATCGGAATATGCAAATTTAGGCTTACGTGCCGGAATTGGTAGCGACTTCGAATTTGCCGTAAGTTTAGGCATTCGGCATGTCGAGGACGTTTGTAGAATGTGTTCCAACAAGTGTAAGATAACGTACAGATGCGATAGGAATTCGTGCGTTGTGAGGTGTGAAAAATGTAGGCGTAACAATTCGGCCTTTGACGGCACCTTCAAAGAGAAATGCGGCAAAGTTTCTTGGTCGGCGATATTGTCGTTTTTATGGCACTACGTGGGCTGGAATGTACCTCGGCAACTTCTGCCGCCGGAATTTCGAAGAAGACGGAGGTCGATTGGTGTAATTACGTGCGATTTGTAATGCTCGTGGCTATTCATAACAGGACGGAGTTGAAAATCGGCGGACCCGGCTAAATCGTAAAAATAGACGAGATGGTCGTATGTAAAAGGAAATACGAGAAAGGCCGTACCCGCCGCCCCCTCCAGTTTCGACAAGCGGCAAGAAAGCGAAAAAAACGACAAAAAAGGGGAAAACGGCAAAAACGAAGCCGACGCAACGGATAAAATCGGCAAAAAGACAAACGTCGATTCCAAAAGAAAGCGCACGAGTAAAAAAGCAGTCTACGCCCGGAAAAACCAAACGTCGCAAAAGAAAATCCGGTGAACAATAGAGAAAGTAATCTGGTTTTTTTTTCTTTCTTTAATTTGATCTTTTTTTTCCTTTTTCGCGGCGCAGCCGTCTTTCGTTTGCACGCATGCGCGAGCGCAAACAAAAGATGGTGACCGGAAGCGCCGACCGCCGCCATCTTGGCTACCTAGGGTAAATCTAACCTGCCGGGAAAAAATAACTTTACTTCTACATTATTATGACAAGGTATGTGAATGCCATCTTGCCTCCCAGATATACAGTCTTACAAAGGTATACCATAAATTTTGTGATTTTTCAAAATTTATTTAAATTTTTTATTAGAAAACAGTTTGGTATGTTTTAAGACAATTACAAAAATATCATTTTCAAGCTCTTTATCTTTTAATGATAATATATTAAAAGTTATCACTGTTCTGTTTAAAAATATTTGTTTAATATATCAAAAGTATGATTAAATTTCTCATTATAGACGATTTTATGAATTATTAAACATTTTTTTTTCTAAATTATTGTTTTCTTTAGTCTCCGGCCCCAATTAAAAATTATTTGTATGTATTTATATGCGAAATTATACCCTGACTTAATGCAAATTCGACTTATGAGGTTACCGCTCGGTCCCATCTATCATGTAAGTTCAGGGT